ATTGCAAAGCAAATAATGCTCTTAGGGAATTTGAAACCGAGATCCAACTACTGTTAGTAAATATTTTCACTGCCATCCCTAAGATTCACCCTGCCACCACTGTTTGGTAGTGGAGCTTGATCTTATAGATTGGAAGTGGCATAAATCATACTCCACATCGTTAGTGTCTTGTTCTTTGAATAACGTTTTGTTGATGGGTCCATTTGAAGACGGCTCAACTTCATTACACAAAAGGTTTTAGAGAGCTATCCATCCATTCTCAGGAGGTGGAAGAAGAAATAGATATACAAGTCTTGGTAGTTCTATGCTAGCTCATCTTGCTGTTCGAATAAAACTAAACAAAGACCACAAAGGGAAAATTCACTTTCGAAATTGGAAGCAATGATAAATTTCGTCCCATGTTAACTAAACATTTCTTATAAGAATAAAATAGCAAATCTACTGTGACAGTTACTTCGTGGGAGACCAACAGAGTATGATCTTTGTTTCTATTGTTTATTTTTGTAAGCAATTAACGGTAATGTGATGCACAAAATCTTCTAATAATAAATTAAAGAAGAGACATAATTGCAGCAGGTCGCCATATTCCCACGACGTCAAAGTGGTTTATTTTTTTCTTTCAATCGCATAAAAAGAGGGGGAGAAAGGAATGAATTTTTTTTACGCTGACAAACACTCACGAAGATTGAAGCCTAACTTTCGTTGATCTCTTGTTCACCTCTGTCAATTCCCACGACCGAAATCAACCAATCCTTTTCTACTCCGGTTCCAATCTACAAACCAAGCTTACTCCGACCTGCAGCCTGAGTTCACTTGAGACCCGATCCACTCCGTCTATGATCAAACTGCAACACACATCACCGTCAACCGCACGAACAGACCCCTCGCCTCCTGCAAACTTGAACGACATCGAGCCTGAGTTCGTTCGATCCGTCTGCCCCACGCAAGGCTAGCCCGCCTCTCCTTCGTTCGAACGGACCTCACATGAAAACCGCTCACCCGACTTCCGCTTGCATCCGCGCTTGTGCAAGAGTCCGAGCCAATCCATGCTACACTGCTTGTTTCTTGAAACCATGAGGAAGAAAGGCTTGTTATTGTTACTAATAATTGCATTAATATCAATGAGGCTAATTACTATTAATATCATTAATAATAATAATAATAATAATAATAATAAAAAAAAAAGAAGAGGTGGGAAGAAAGATCAGATGTTCGGAATCTCAATGAAGGCGGATGCTCGAAGACTATTTTCAAGACCAAACAATGTCCTGAAGCCTTTGGCCGTTGATTATCTTTACGGGTGGGCGGATTAAAAGGGCAAGTGCCCTCTCCTACCTCCCCTCATGAGGGCAAATTATTGGGTCAGGTGACCGAAGCCATCTCTCCGTTCGGTCGCCAATAAAAATGCGACATCTGTTAGGCGTTTTTTTAATTTATTATTAACGCTTTATGTCTTGTCAGATTAGCGACCCGACCAATAATTTGCCCCTCATGAGATGGGGACGCCGGGAGGCTACCGAAATATCCCAAAAAATACTAAACTCGCATGTTTTTGAAAAGATTGGAAAAATACTCAACAGATTAATTTAATTTGAAAATAATCAATTAATTGCAATATTAATTAATTAATTAAATGGTTAAATAACTAACATAATACAATCTAATTTAATTTAATTAACCAAATTAAGTTTGCAACTAATGTAACAGTTAATTGAATAACTAATTAATTAACCATGATATTTAATTAAAGAACAACAAATAGGAACAGTAACATAAATTAGAAAACTTAAAGCAGAATCTCAATTAATCAACCTAATTTAACTAATAAATCAATAATGCACCTCTTTGAAATTCGGATAAAATTGAGTAATCAAATTAATAAGAAGCGTCAAGCAATTAGTTAAATGATTAATCAATTTAACTAATCAAATAATAAAAATGAAATTTAAAATAAACTTTAAGTGTTTGATGAAATTAAAATTTAATTAACTTAACTTGAAAATTAATTAAATTCTAAGTAATTAAATTAACTATTTAAAATTAAATCCTTAAATTCCTAAGTTAACTAATTAAAATTAAGATTAAAACTTTAATTCAATTTAACTAATTGATTTAAAATTCAAATTGAAACTTCATTTAAATTAAATAAATTAAAATTAAAGCTTTAACTAATCAAAATAACTAAGAAATTGAATTTAAAATTTTAGTTCAAACATAGTCAATGGAATCATTGACTAATGCCAAATCTGCTTGAACCAAACTATTTTAACCCAAAACCTAATTCAACTTAATTAATTTTAAACTTTAATCTAATTAATAAAATCTACTAAGTAATTTCAAATTGTCAAACTTAATTGAATAATGAAATTTAAATGATTAAATAATTAATTTGAAAATAAATAAAATTAAAATTTACATCAAACATAACTCAAAATTAAAATTTTAATTATAATTAATCAAAATAATTAACCGTTAAGAAAAATGAAATTTAACAATTAAAATCCACTAATTTTAAAACAAACTCTCACTTAAATTAGTTGAGAAACCAACTTAATTTAAATACAACAACAACAACAACATCAAGCCTTTATCCCACTACGTGGGGTCGGCTACATGAATCCTTTTTCTCCATTGTGTCCTATTAAAATATACAATCAATTTTAAAATACAATTAATGAGTTGAGAAATTGATTTAAAATTAAAACTTAACTTCAATTAAAAATTTATTTAATTAATTAATATAATTAATTAATGCAATTAACAAAATAAAATGCTATTCAGAACAATATTCACTCTAATTGACTATGTACAATCGCACTAAAACTCAACTCCTAAAAAGCTAACCAAAGCATAAAACAAAAAGAAATACTTCGAAAATTCAAGTCTAAACCCAGCTCCTGATAAAGCCCCAAGCCTCTGCTTGGCTCCAACTCCTGACAAAGACTGCAATTGCAAGCTCCAGTTATTGTAACTGCTGGCTATGAGCACCTGCAAACAAGCAGACAAAAGTCAGCACATCATAAATAAAAACAATGCTGAAAAGAGTAAAACTAACTCAGGATACTGCACATTCCTTGGAGGAAACCTTGTTATATGGACAAAGTGACAAACAAGAAACAGAATGTGGTGGCAAGATCTAGTGCAAAAGCATAATACAGAGCTATTACCTTGGGACTATGTGAGCTATTATGGATCAAAATAATTCTAGAAACCTAAGGATCAAATGGGAAGGACCCATGAAGTTACATTGTGATAATAAATAAACAATTATCATAGCTCACAATCCGGTTTAGCATGACAGGACTAAGCAATAGAAGTGGACAGATATTTTATATAAAAAAAAAAAAATTAGACAATGTTCTTATATGTATCTATCATGTCTCATCAAAAGATCAACTTGCAAATATTCTTACCGAGTGACTTGATAACTCTGCCTTTTGGTGACTGATTACTAAGCTAGAAATGACAAATATGTATTCCCCAGCTTAAGGGGTAAGTGTTAAATCTCAGCCGTCCCTTAGCATATTGATCCCACGGCTAGGATGGGGATCCGTGGGAGGCTCACCTGAATCATGCCGATCTCTTTCCATAGTTTGGTGGCTGATTTAGGAAGGATTATATTAGGGCAATAATGTATGATTCTGTAATTGATTTATTTCTTTATTAGAGATTTTGTATAGATCTATAAATATGGATATATTTGTGCAATAAAGTTAACATTTTCCCTCTCAAATCTCTGAATTCAACACTCACCTCTAGAGATTCTCCCCTTTTTATATTTTCTACTTGATGTTTCATCTTTATCTTTTGCCTCTCTCCCTGGAGGCGTTCCTTTTTATCTAATTCTTCAACCCTCTTAGTCTATCTCACCAATTTTCTATGCAAAATTTGGTTTATTCTCATGGGGTTCAGTGCCATAAGGCAAGCCATTTGAGTTGCAAAACAGGTGGCAATTTTGGTGGTGAGAAAACAAGATGAGGTAGCCCGTTGTGGTGATTATTGATGCTTTTGTGATTCAGTGTCATCAACATGAGCACCGGCTAGGATGCAAGAACTGATTAAGGTTGGATTTAGAGTCTAAAGATGGATCTAATGCACCTTCAAAGAAGGAATAAAAAAAAAAGATTTAGATTTGTGAGCATGCTCAAAATATCCTGTTTTTGAATGGTTACCAAAAATTTTATAAAATTCCCACAAAATTTGAACTCCAATTTTGAAGCATCAGACTCAAAGTTGATTGAACTGGTCTCAGTCCAATCTTGAGTCTAAATCACTCTTAAACACCCCGGTGATATCACAAACTTTGTACCCTTATATTGATTGCATGTTCTCTTTTTCCTCTTAGATTGCTTTAGCTTGAATCATTGTATATATACTAAATCAGATTTGAATGTATTTTGTAATTATCCTATCAACACCTCTTTCAATGAATTTGGACTTACTCGCTCAGCATCTTACCAGAAATTCCTGCTGTGATCTCTAACTGATTAGGTTGGTACAAATAATTGTGGAAGTACTTTATTTACTTGTTGAAAGGTAAACAAGTTTTATGTTGATCTCTAGCAACCATGCAGCAAAAAATCTCAAATTTTAATTGCAGTAGTACCACGCTGTTGGTTTTCAACTGTTACGTGGTTTTGTAACCTTATTTTTAGCGCGAACTATACTTCAAACATATGAAAGCTTCACTGACTGAATATTTGTTATTACTTGATGCCTTAAGTGATTTTTATGTCTTTCAACTTATATAATCTTCCTTTTGGTGACATGACGGATAATATTTTCACAGCTGATGTTTCCATATAGATTTTAACAATCTCAATCATTTATGCGATTTCTTGATAAACTAGGAAAAAAGATTTCTGCTGTTTTGCCATCCCATTAACTATTAATTCTATGCGAGATGCATATTTGTCATCCTATTATGCCGCCAACGGTACTCCTTTTTTTCCGAAAACAATGGTCTATAGAGTCTATAAATAGCTCACTATTATTTGCAGAAACAAGCTTGCTTGCCACCTAGGCAATGGCCATCCAAATATGATAATTTGCCTTCCAAAGAAGGTTTTTCGGATCATATCAAAATACCGACTGATGGTACTGATGTTTGGGAGATTGATACTAAACTTCTGAAATTTCAAAATAAGTTAGCATCAGGGTCTCAGTGTAATCTGTATGTCTAACAGTAATTCAAAGCAAATATATCTCCAGGTATGGTTATGTTTGTTTATGTTACAGTCAACGTGTCCATGTTGTTTTCTTCTTCAGATACCGAGGCACATATTGTAGTCAAGATGTAGCTATCAAAGTATTTAAGCCAGAGCATGTTAGTTTGGATATGCAGCGTGAATTTGCGCAGGAAGTCTATATTATGAGGTCAGTGGAAAAGCACTTCCATATAAAAAAGTATTGTTTGGTGCTTGGCGTTTATATCTTATCATCGTATGATAAAAATATATATCTGCCACTCAACATCATGGCTTGCAAGCATTAATCTCTTCGTTAAAATTAGACATTACCCCAAACATTTGAAGTCAAATCATATCATTTTGCACGGCATATTATAACTATTTGAGGAATTCATTAGGATGAGAAAAGATAAATTATCATAAAGCTATTTATAGTAGGACTCTTATAAAGATAGATTATTTCATATGCAATCATATAAATAAGCATGAACCATAAATAAATCAATCAAATGCATAAGTTTAGAAGAATTGTGCATTACTCCCATTTAGAAATAGATTATCCACCTTTAGATATGTAAGAAAAGTTAGGTTAAGATTTACTTCTCCCATATCAAGGAGAAGGGGGAAAAAGAGGAAGAAGCCCTAGTCGATGTTCCTCCTCAAAATTTTACTTTGGTTTTTTCATGCAATTTAACGATCTCAATATCTACTACTCGTCAGTTCTGCTGTGCAGACTAGCTTCGGCCCTCTCACATCTCACTCGACCTCTCGCTCAAAATTTAACCGTAAGATCTTCTCTCCATCTATATATGTATACACACACATGAATCCATCTGACTACGTAATTCACCCTCTCAAAATTGTGTAATCGAACCTTAATTGATTGATTATTTATTTATTTAATTTTAAGCAATTTGTCCCTTTTCAACCAGTTCGATCTAGAGAGCTTGATTAAAGTTTTAGTTGTCCATTAGCAATTTTTAATTAGCTGTTAATCTTCCTAATGATTTCACTTAACTAATTAAGTGTTTCTTTGGTACCTCAAGTAGTAACATGCGCAAATCCTTTGGGCCATTATTTCCAATGAACAAAGAAGCCTTAAAATTCTAGTTATGAGCTTCTGCAAAGAGGATAGCATATTACAACCATAATAGTGGAAGTATGCTGTACGATTGATTTACTCACGGGGATCAAAATTCACTAAATCCTTACAAATAATTACAATCCTATGAATTAATTTATCACAATAGTGAAATCTTAAAAAGAAGCAAGATATTTTAAATTAAATGGGTCATCAAAGGTAAAAGCACATGAAATCGACTGAAATCTCAAACATTTTTATGTTGGTATAATATCTGAAGATTTCAACCATAATAGGTCAATTCTCCTTTTTTTATGTGGATTTTGCCAAATATATTTTTTTCTATAGGCCATATTCCTTTCCTGGGATTCTTTAATTAATTTACATCCTTTATATGCAGAAAGATTCGCCACAAACATGTTGTTCAGTTTATTGGGGCTTGCACACAACCACCTAGTTTATTCATTGTTACGGGTATGCATGAACTTGGCCGATATTTTGTTTTTCACTCTCAAAAATTTTTCTTGCCTGTATTAGTGGGTTATAATATCTTGTGGTTGTTTGGATGTAGTAGCTGATATATATATAATTTTCTATTGTTTTTTGGTCCACTCAGAATTCATGTCTGGAGGAAGTCTGTATGATTTTCTTCATAAGCAGAAAGGTGTCTTCAAACTTTCAACTCTGCTTAGAGTAGCAATTGATGTTTGCAAGGGAATGAGCTATTTGCACCAAAATGATATCATACATAGGGATCTGAAGACTGCCAATATTTTAATGGATGAAAATGAGGTTGTTGTTACTGTTCCTATATTAGTAAGGACACCGCTGCTGTTTTCTTTCTGTAAATGCAATGTTATTGATGCACTTGAACACATAAATAACATAGGACCATATTATATATTAACCACTATGAATTTCTACTAAATATGATTGTAAGGTTTTTTAAATAAATTGTTTGATCTTTTAAGATTTGTTTGATCATACAACAAAATATCCTTTTTGTTTATTACACCTGTTTTAGCATTAAAAGTGCTTCTTAAAAAAGGTAAAGTTGTTTTATTCACCGTTTGGAGTTCAAATTGTTGGGGAAAAGCACTCTTCAAGGAGCAATGATGATTCCTTGAATGAGAAAAATAATTTGCAAGGAGAACACGAAGAAAAAAAAATATAAGAGAGTTTATGTGGTTTATTGAAATTTATCTACGTTGTTAGCAGCATAGAGAGATAAATGCTCATGAGTTTAGAGACAAATATGATACCAATATTTGGGGAATATTCATCTCTTTTTTATATCTCTAGTATTACTCTTTATGTTCTCTTTTTTACTATCTCTCCAAATTCGAGCAAGATTCCTCCACTGACTGCTCATCCAAAATAGATGATAACATGTTCCCGCTTATGTTGGACCACCTCATAAGTAACAAGCCCCAAAAAATATCTTTTGAAGGCCTCTGGCTTTTAACTATCACTTACAACATTTCAGTGTAATTTTTCAACCACCAAATAGAGAAAAGTCCTCTCCATGACCGCAACTAAGATACGAACAACTTTCAATCACTCTCCACCTGTTAGACCTCCACCCCTACACTCGGTTGAATGAGGAGAACAATGAGTTCTGTCCCTCAACTCCATGTAACTATGTTCTTTTTTACAAATTTGCAGATATTAAGTTGATTGTTTTAGGTGGCAAGTAACTTATTTATAGATAGTAGGTAGATTTCTTAGAAACGTATGAAAAATGTATGAAATAAATTCATACAGTAGGCTTTGACTTTGCAATCAGAGTTGTTAAGAAAATTTTCTCAACATCTCCGCACAAATCAAACATATAGAGCTTTTTTACTATCTTCTATGTCATTTATTCTTTTATCTGTAATAATATTTATATATTGCGGCATTATTTATTTTAGAATCTTCATTTTTGACAAAAAAAAAAAAAACATAGAATTATTATTTAATGGCCTTTTCTAAATCAACCAATGGTCATTTTTTCTTTCTACTCTAAACTTAAATTGTTGTGAATTGCGAGTTTATAACAACAATGTTATGCTTTTAACAAACAATAAAAACAAGTCTTTATCCTACTACGTGGGGCCGGCTATCTAAGTCATTTTTCACCATTGTCCTATTAAGAGAGTCAAATTCTCATTTAAATTTAATAAAAAAAGTACTTTTTAATATTCTATAACTGAGTCTTTTAAGTCTACCACTATCTTTCTTAGTTATGCTTTAAAATACTAATACATTTATATTATTAACCAATATAATTATTCAATTGTTTTATTTCTATAAAAATTCCAACCTAATTAATTTTGAACTGACAAATTCTTGATCTAAAGCCCAAGAATGTGCATTTGGGCTAGTAACTATTTAGACACCTCTTTTCAATTTTTTGACGATATAAATTGCATAGTTTTAATGCGCCTTACTTTTTCAAATATGGTTGGCTTTTAACTTTCAACAATCCTACGTCTAACAGGTTGTCAAAGTTGCGGATTTTGGTGTTGCGCGTGTTAAAGCTCAATCTGGTGTTATGACTGCAGAAACAGGAACATATCGGTGGATGGCTCCAGAGGTATTTCTAGATCTTATCTTGATTTTTAGGCACCACTATCACAAACTCTTCCGGGGAAGTGTCTGTTAACATTTTTAATGCTATCAATATTTTGAGCAATTTTGGTAGCAAGGTGTTTGCTAATAAAAGGACTTCAGATGAAATGTGGCTAAATTGGCCGCATTTACTTTTAATGGTCTTAGTAAAGTTAATAAATTTATGACATGAATTTTGAATTGTCATTTTCTCATCACTCCATGGTGTTAAAAATAAAAGTTCTCTTTTAGAATCGCTAATATTGATAGGTAGAAGACGTGATAATAAACTATGTAGATGAGTCAATGAGATGTGTAGATGAAATCAATGTGACAGGATTTAGAAGGAGACGGGGTAGCTCAAAGGTATATTATGGTCAAAAGTTTCAAAAAAAGATTTAACACTTCAGGAAATATTTAATAAGATTGAATGGAAAACAAGGATTTATATCATTTGAATCCAATTAGCAGGGATAAGGCCAATGATTGATGGTCTTTGTGAAGTTGATGAACATAAATATGGCTTCCTGTTTACTAATTGAAGCAGTTTTATAGTTAGCCAAATGCTCTGAAAGTAATTTTACCTACATTCCATTATTTTCAACCATTTTGATTTCGTAAAGATTATTTGCTTTCCAATCAATTTCCATCACAAAAGTGGAATTTGATATTCCTAAATATCCTCAAGGCATTTCTTCCATCTATCCTTTCTTCAATATGCTTTTTTCAATTATTTGGTTATTGGAAAAATTAGGTCTGATTATTATTAAATAAATGTTTAAGTATCTCAGTTTGATTATTTTCAAATAATACATGTTATTATATTTCATAAAATTGTAATCGCATATTGGGAAGTAATAATCACTGCTTTCATGCAATAGCCAAATTGAGTGAGGGATTAGAGGTGAAGTATGGTGCTGGGGGAGTATGGGGTTGATGGGACACACGAAGAACATAAGGTTTGTGGCATGAAGATTGGGAGGGGAGATAAGGCTATTGATATTTTAAATAAAATTATATGATGAAATTTGAAATTTGAATTGTCTGTGACTAAAAAAATAACATGCACTAGTCAAAAGACAAATAAATTTGATGAACATCAAATAGGAGACAACATTTTCCCAAGATAAAATATATTAAAATATATACTTGTTGACAAGTGATTGTAGAAGTCATTATTATCATACATTAGCATTATCCTATAACCATTTGGAGTTGACTTTATGAATCCTCCTTTTATTCTTTATAAATGCTATAATAGGTTTGTGTTTCTCTTTTTTTTTTTTTAATATTAGGTGTTTACTAAATCTTGAGCTAGTCTTTTTTCTGTGCTTCTAATACGCTATCTTTTTCATTCCCATTTTCCTTTTTAATCTTTTCACATTTATTTTGCATCCTTGTCTATGCTCTAAACACATTAATCAATTTTTTACTTAGATCATCTTCAATTATTTCTACTCCATCTCAAATTTAAGCATTTATCACTTTATGTTTTTCTTGTTTTATTACACATCTATTTTAACACTCATATAACAGTTGGTGATTAATGGGTGATCGATGGCTTTTTTTTATTTATTTATTTTAACACGGGTCCAAAAAACATAATCGCTATAGTTTTAGTCCATAATATTCTCTCATCTCATAGTAATCCATCAAGGCACCTATCCATTTTGGCCAATCTACTTCAACTTTAAAGGTGATATCCTTATTATCACATTTAGTTATCATTTCCAGTAATGTTTATTATTAATTACCAATTACTAATTTCTTGTCAATTAAAATAGCATGTCATGTTCTCAATCTTTATTCTATTAATTTCAAGTCCATTATCATCTTGCCTTTGAATGTCATCTACCTGATAAAGATTAGTTGTAAAATACAGCAAATAACCAACTCTGCTATTGACAATGATATTTAAATCATTTGTTCCGGGTTTTTCATGTTGTAGCCAGTTAGTCCGGCTATTTTATTCTTCTCAAGTGGTGATTATTTCCTATTTCTAAGACTACTTTGGTTTGCTAGGCTTTACATACCGCCATTTTCATATGAAATGTGGTTTTTAATTGAAGGTCATAGAACATAATCCCTATGATCACAAAGCCGATGTGTTCAGTTTTGCTATAATGATCTGGGAGCTTCTAACAGGGAAGGTAATCCGTGCTCATGAAGAAATTTTTATTTAAAATTTTGTACATAGAGATATAGAATTTCTCTCTTTTTTTCGTCAAATGCGTTAATTTATTGTTGCAATGTCCTTTGCAGCTTCCATATGAGTATTTAACACCACTTCAAGCAGCTGTTGGTGTAGTGCAAAAGGTAAGCGTCTTTTTTGTACCCTTTTTTAACTGGTGCTTGTATTCATCAGATTTTAATTTTCAGGCTCTGCATTTAAGGTTGTCCTTTGCAATCACTGAGGGGCTAGTTGCATGGAAAAACTGGCGTACAGTATTTATTGTGTTCTCGGAATTATATCCATAACCATTTTAAATCTCTGATTAAAAAAAAATTAAGAGCATCATGTTACTCAAATATTTACTACTTCTTGTCCAAGTTCATGCGACGATTTTCTGAAATTAAAATTCTTCACCATCAAACAATGAAGACCGTCCATATTTTTTTTCATCTTTAAATTATTGTTAAAAACTATATTTGCATTCTTAAGGTCATCTAATGATTCATCACATCACACCATCACCATTCATAGCCTTATCCCAACTATTTGGGATCAAATTTATGAATTCTTATAATTCATTCATTCATGTTTATTGCTTCTCAAAGCATTAAATTTATTTTGCGCAAATTCCTTTGTATAAATTCTATCTATTTTGCACTATTCTATCATTTTTTTCTCCCAATCCTTCCTAGTGTATTTTTTAGCATTTGTTGCTTATAATATCTTATCTTCAATCTATGATACTCATATAGTCCCTCAAATATGTTGATTTTTAATCAATTCTTCTTACCTTTGCCACACGTCTATTGCTAGACATCTATCTTAACTGCTTATTGATATGCCAACCTGACTAATAGTGACTTATAGCTACTTAATTCTAGGTTCATACATTCTATCTTTAAGTCTTTATAATATTCTCTTATGTTATTGATAGGAAACACTTGTAGATCTCAAGTATTTTCTATCAATTTTCGTAAAACAGCGAGAAACTCTTCCAAACTCCAATGAAAATCAGGAAAAACAGAAGATTTTATTGCAAAAATTAACTAACGAAAGAAAAACAAACAAGATACGAGTGATCCTCAATTCGAGAGGAGGATCAATCTCTCCCAATCTCTAGACGCCGCTAGAGCCCAAGACAAACTCAGAGATCTCAATTTTCAGTCAAATTCAAGATGCCATAACCCTAGGAAAACAAAGTATTTAATGCATACAAATCAAAAGGAAATCTTTAAACAGTCCCTACATTCAATTTCCCTTTTAAACTTCCTCAAAATTCCTTCCTAAAACGGCTCCCATGGACCTACGGCTCGCATGACTTGTACAGGAGGCGGAACTCCTTCACCCTTTTGCGCACGGTTCGGTCCTGTTGGACCGGTCTAACAATACTCCCCTCCCAAAGATCCACCTTGTCCTCAAGGTGAAAATTTTCTTGTGTTCCTGTGGAGGTATCCATCCTTGAGGTGGATAAAAAATCTTACCGAATTGTTGAATCAAGGGCTGCACTTAAAGAGAAACATATCCTCCCTCCAATCTGATCACCTCCAGCCTGTGTAGTCCCACCAGATAATCTTCCCCCACCTCTTGTATGTCCCTAACCATGGTCTTAAGTGATACCATGGCTTTGGATAGCTCTGCATTTCCCCTTATAACCACCTTTCTCCCATCCACCATTAATTCCATCGTGAGTGCTCCCTAATTGTCCTTGGTTTCCCCCAATGTTTGCAACCACTTCATCCCCAGGATGATATCAGTTCTTCCTAACTATAGTGGGAGAAAATCCTCCTTTACTTGAATCCCTTGGAGAGTCAACACGACTCCTCTACAGATTCTATGGCCTTTCTCTACCTTCCTTGTACCCATCATCTCCCCATAATAATTGGTCTCCACCAATTTCACTCTCAGTTGGTTAATGACCTGAGTGTAAATGAAATTATGGGTAGCCCCACTGTCAATCAATACAACCACCTCCATGCCTGCTATTTCCCCCTTCACCTTCATCGTATGATTCAAAATGAATCCTACTACTGAATTCAAGGAGACCTCCGCCACATCCAGATGCAACTTGTCTTTCATCTCTCTCACCTCCCTCAGTTTCCTCGTCATCACAGACGTTTGAAAACCTGAAGAGTTCAATCCCTACACCTGTGCCATGGAGTATACTTCTCATCACACCGGAAACGTAACCCTTTTGCCCTCTTCTCATGCATCTCCTTCTCTGTTAGCCTCTTGAAATTTTTTCCACTCCCTCCTACTAGCTTCTCCCTGGTGCGTGGTCTCATTAATGCTACATGATGTAGGCCCCTTGGGTGCTAAAAGAGTGGTCGTCGTCCTATAAGAGCCTCCTGAGCTACTGCTCCTGGCTCCCTTCTCTAGATTCTTCTAATTTTCCAACAGCTGTGCCAACTTCATGGACTCCCCCAAGTCATTAAGCGTCAGAACTTTCACTGTCGCTCGGATCTCTGCGCCTTCAACCCCTTCATGAAGTTTCCCTCCAATACAGTATATGATAATCGCTACACCCTACTGGCCAGTGCTCGAACCGCTCCCGATAGTCTACTATTGATCCCTCTTGCACCAGAGCAAAGAACTGCTTATAAAAATCTCCTCTCTAGTCGGTTTGGAAACGTTCTATTATGCAGTCCTTGAATTCCCTCCAGCTTCTGATAGGTCTCATATTGTCTCTCCATTGGTACCATGACATCACCTTCCCTTCCAAGCACAAGCCTATCGCTGTCAGCTTCTCTTCCTCCGTCAGCCCATTGACGGTGAAGTACCTCTCCACCTTATAAATCCACCCGTACGCATCCTCCCCTTCAAATATGGGCATCTTCAGCTTCCTTACCTTCTGATCTCCACCATTCCCCCTTACTCTTCCATAGCCTCCCCTCTCGTAAGTGCTCGGCCCTCCCCACGTCTCTCGGTCTTCCCTCGCTCTGCCATAGCCCTAACCCCCTTCGAATTTCCCTCTTCTTTCTTCAAAATTAGCACATCGGCAGCCGTACTATCCCTCTTAGCATTCCCCATATCCATCTCCTCTTTCTTCCCTTTGGACAGGCTCCAGATGGGGTCTTCTTCTTTCTCCTTCCACGATTTCCACCTCATCTTCCTCCCTACGAATTTCAGAATTCGTGTTTTTTCCTTCCACCCCTTTTGCCACGGAAGCCGCCATTTAGTTGTGGATTTCCAACATATTCTTCATCATACCCGGAGATCAGCTACTTGTCCTTCCATGGAGGAAATCCTTTCCTCGACCGTTGTCTTGATTTAGTTCATCTCCCCTTCAAGCCTTTCTTCTAGCGCATCTACTTTCTTGGTTGTCATCTCGATCCAGATTTTTTGTAGATAAAAAAATTTTGAATTTGGATTGCAAAAACAACAACTTTCTCTTTTCCCGGCCAAAAATCAACCGCTAAAATTCGCCAAAATCAGCCCACGAATAGTCCCAAGACTTGCTTTGATACCAATTTGATAGGAAACACTTGTAGATCTCAAGTATTTCCTATCAATCTTCATAAAACATCGAGAAACTCTTCCAAACTCCAATGAAAATCAGGAAAAACAAAAAATTTTATTGCAAAAATCAACTAACGGAAGAAAAACAAACAAGATACAAGTGATCCTCAATTCGAGAGGAGGATGGATCTCTCCCAATCCCTAGACGCCGCTAGAGCCTAAGACAAACTCAGAGATCTCAAATTCCAGTCAAATTCAAGATGCCCTAACCTTAGGAAAACAAAGTATTTAATGCATACAAATGAAAAAGAAATCTCTAAACAGTCCCTTCATTCAATTACCCTCCTAAACTTTCTTAAAATTCCTTTCTAAAATGGCTCCCGTGGACCTGCGGCTTGCGCAGCTTGTATAGGAGGCGGAACTCCTCCGCCCTTTTGCGCACGGTTCGATCCCGTCGGACCAGTTGGGCTGGCCCAATGGACCGGTCTAATAGTTTTTTATTTCTTAGGCATTTATCCATTTTTATCGATCAACCAGAACCCTAAAAATTATAATCTTATGTGTAACCTCCTTTGAATAATACAAATAGGATATTTAAACTTATTCTGCTGGGGTATACTTGATCTTCTAATAATATTGATATGTAATTCTTAACTTTAAATTCGCTAAAATTGCATATTGTTTATTCAATTTTACAATTGTTTATTCAATTTTAAACTCACTTAAACTGCATTGTTTAACTTTTCACTTATATCAATAAAAATCTCACCAAGTAGAGTATAGCATCGACAAACAAGATACATTAAAGTACTTCACGTCAAATATCCTTTGTAAACATCTCTAAAACCCATACAATAAGGTAAAATTTTAATTTGGTCATTGATGTAATTCTATAATGATTGTTAAATTTTTTGACATTCAATTATTACTTTGAGTGCTAGTTAATGCTCCATCATAAATATCTTTTTCCACTCCTTGGAATTTAAATCGGAAGAATTGCACATATTTTTCTCTTGTAAGTATCAACCAGAGCTCACATAATTCAATATAAACAGAAAACATAATTATATTATTGTTCACTGACTATTTACATATCTGTGAAGTTCCCAAAATAATATACATAATAACCAACAACATATTACAAATTAACAAATAAAACCAAAGAGAGAAATAAAATCTAAATTATCACCTATTGATTAGCTTCACTTTGCAGGCTCCTTACTCTTATTTGAAATTATTAAAAACCACATAATGAGTACATAGTCCAGTAAGTAATCAAAATCTTACAACTGAAATCAATGCACGAAAAAAAGAAATAATATGTTGAAAATCATGTAAGAACATTTATGAATCAATATATGTTATCTGTATCAGTCGCTTATATCAATGTATAAATCTTTTGCATATGAGATTTGACTCTGTCAATTATATCGGTTATTAGTTATCTTGATTATCAATTCTGATCATAAATCAATCAATCAATCTCCCGTATAATTAGTCTTATCATCTATTAATTTTATTTGTCATTAATCATCAGTCACACCTGCCATCAGGCTTGTCTATCTTATTTGTCGTTTGTCGTATCTATCATTTTTATATCCATCACATCATATATACAATCATGTATGCTATCATGTATTCATGGCAATATGAAATTCAGCATGGTAGGATATCCAATTTTAATGTG